GAGGACAGAGCCTTAGAGTCGGCCGTCGTCAAGGTCATCAGCCCGGCCGGGTCCCGCGAGCCTTCCTCCTCCCTGGTGGTGACGGAGATTCTCCAGGAGGCTCCCGAGCTCATCACCGAGCAGCTGGCTCATCTCCTGAGAGGTGAGGGGCCCTTTCTGTTAAATACTGGAAGGCTTAATGGAGTGTCTCTCAGCTCGCTCATGCGGAGAGCGCGATCCATTCTCGGGTTAACAATCCCCGGAAAGACCGCGGGAAGCTTCATCAGAGAGGCGGGGAGTAAAGAGTTTGTTAAGGAGTAGCATGATATTGAATGTTAAAAATGTGCATTTGAAAATAGGCATGAAGGGTCTTTGTTGTTTCAAGACAAGAATATTAAATGGCACTCCTGCCCCTCTGCCGGGCACTGGACTAGCTCCTCTGGCCCTCGAAGGCTCCCAGAGGTGACTCTTGCCCCACAGTGTGACATGGGCCAGAGTGCCACATGCCCACACTGAATTGCCTCCTGATACGGGTACATGCTTGGTTTATATAATACTGTTTGGATGGCAAAACTGCACCTTTCATTTTGGAGATGTTGTGCAAGGTGGACTTTTATAGCCAAGTGGTCACCTCTTTCCTCGCCCGTCTTGTAATGCATCCCATTGTCACTCAGCTTGCCTTAGGCGCTCTGGTCCGGAACCATCAGTTATTCCCTAATCACTGTTTCATCTCCAGCAATGGACCCACTGCTTCCAAAAGGTGATTTCCAAGCTAGAAATTGTCAGTTGAGTTTGGTGCCACAAAATCACCACAAAAATTCTGTATTGTCTCACTTAGTTTGGGGTTTTGTGTTAAGCTTTGCTTTTTTTCCTTTCAATACCCCATCTTGAACATGGCAGACATAGATTTTTCTCAGAAGTATTTCATGCAAGAAAGTGAAAAACAGTGGTGAATAGGCTGAAAGAATTTAAAAAGGAAGGAGAAGACCAAGAGACTGTTGACTCAAGTCTTTTATTTTTATTTTTTTACAAGTCTCAATTTTTGTTATTAGATTCAACAGAGTCACATTTTAATAAATATAATCAGAACTGACAACACATAGGGAAAAAGAAAATAAAACCTGCACATCCTTCATTGAAAGCATAAACAAAACTAGACAAAAAGTTAGTGAGATAGCTAGTTCCCCATATTACATGCCTAAGCACAGTTTAAACAAACATCATATGTACCAATATTTGAGTTTGATGCCTAATATTTGTGCAAATATATACCAATATGTAAACTATGTAAAAATATTAAGTTTCTCATGTGATAAATGAACTTGTTTCTTGCTTAAAACATCTAATTAGATTGAATTAATGACAATGTTACAAGAGATAATGTTTCACTTTAGTAACGTACATAGTAGAGAAACCAGCTCACAGAGGCATATTAGTGAGGGTGGGAGAGGTACTTTAAAGCAATCTCAGCACATTCAGGATACTAATTGAATTTTTATACAGAATTAAGCAAGTGAGGTTATAGTTTCAAGAGTAATCTTTGGCCCTTGATAAGTTGACTCAAGTCTTTTAAAGCCTTTTCTCCGTCTCTACCACCATTTGGAAGGGAAAAGGTATAAGAGTCATAGAGTTCCTGTAAATGTTTTAGAACTAATGGCCCCAGTGAACCCACTTAAAATATTTTCCTGGCTAATGACATCTGTAAAATGCTCTATGGGAAACTGTGCCCTCAACTAAACTAAGTAAGCACAATCATTTATCTCTGTGACAGAGCAAAAGCAAAATAAAGGTAATTGGGGATCTCAGCCAAGAGGGAAGTTGATTGATATTTTGTTTGCAAACTGAGAAGGCTTGGCTCATTGTTCAAAAAAATCCATGTGTTATTTAGAAGGATAGAATTGTAGTCAGTGAACAGTTCATCTTCATGATTTTGTATAAATAGTAAAATTATCGGTCACACTGTGATACATTGGTACGAAGATGATTTTGTTGTTGATGCTGCTGATCGTGATATTCAGATTTAGGGAATTAGAAGGAATGCAGATCCCTTTGTTAGTTGCCTTAGTTTTAGTTAGCAAAGCTGCCAAGAATTAAAGCTATGGTAAAGACTTGGTTTTTCTTAGGGCTGGGCTTAAAGTGGGGTTGGGAAGCAGCCAGAATAGTGACACCACTTTCTTGTCACTTGGAAATTGGAATGTGAGAGGAGGAAGGGCCTCTACCTGTGAAAACTGCCAATACTGATACTGTCATGAGAGCAGAGTCACTGGAGCCTGGGAGCGAGAAGACATAGGTGGATTATGTAAGACGTAGGTGGAAAGCGGGCCCTGGAGACCTTTGGCCACAGTGGGCATGTGTGCATACGTGTGCTACGTATGTGGAGGGGAGACGAAATTCCACTGAACGGTTTTGCCCAGAGGGAACCAAAGGATGGGGACCCAAGGAATTTGACTTTAAAGAGATAACTGTTCATAAGGGCAATGGGCAATTTTTAAAAGCTCCTGAATTTTAAGTAAATATAAGAAAGGAGTCAAGTTAATTTTTGTATTATCCACTAAACTCAAACTTAGATTTCATACTTTTCCAGTCATGTGCTAACACCAAACCTAAAGGGAGGTGTGTTTTTTTAATGTGCCTATAAATAATTTTAGCAATCTTTATTTTCATAATAAAAAGTTCTCTTTCTGAAGGGCTTTCTCTATAAATAGCTATGATGTTACTTGTGTTTTGGGGTGCTCAAAAGTGAACATTAATTTGACACACATTTCTAGAATGTGTCTTTATGCATTCTTCTAGGTCTTGGAGGAATGCAGAATTTCTGTGCACACTCTTGCCATGAAGAATTTTTTAAAATGTCCACTTCTCTATGTTGTGAGACTTGGAAGAGTCTTCAAAAGCTTCATAACTAGAACTCTATGGAGAATATATTACTATAAACTTTGTACCAAAAAAAATAATCTGCATTTACTACGAACTAAATACTTTATCAATTTGGTTGTTCTTTGCCTTTTGTTCCCGTGGTCATATCCAAGAACACGTCATGTTGAGGTGCACTGGGGTGCTACAAATGGGTTTCAAGTGGGCCAAGGTATTGGTTCCTCAGTCCTTGGAGAGCACCCTAAGTATGCCTCTTAGCCTCTTATGCTGGAAAAAATTAACAAAGTAATTTTCAATGCATTTCTTTTTTGGGGGGGGGGAGGTAAGAGAAACACTGATGTGGATGAATCTATATTTCAAAGGTGTTCTCTCTTTTTTTTTTTTTTAATTCTCACCTGAGGCTGTTTTTCCCATGCTTTTCAGAGAGAGTGGAAGGGAGAGAAAGGGAGAGAGAGAGAAACATCGATGTGAGCGAGACACATTGATTGGTTGCCTCCCACATGTGCCCTGACCTGGGCAGGGGATTGAGCCTGCAACCAAGGTACGTGCCCTTGGAGAGAATCGAACCCGGAACGGTTCAGTCTGAGGGACGGCTCTAACCCCTGAGCCAAACTGGCTAGGGCTCTATGCATTCCTTGATTCCTAAAAGGTTGGGCCCACTCTTCCTTAGTTGTGCTTGTTAGCTGCTCTCTGCTCCACTTCTAAGTATTGCAGTACCCTGGAACTTTGTCTTGGGCATTTTTGCTCTAAACACTGATCTCATTTAATTCTGAGACTTTAAATATAGTAGTTAGGCTGTGACTCTCTGAATCTCCAACAGTAACTCCTGTTAGAATTCCAGGTTTATATCCAGTGCCCACGGGACATCTCCACATGCATGTGTGATTAGCTCTACCACCTTTATCACGGCTGTAATGGGACCCTTTAGTTCCCTGTACCTGCAAACCTGCTTTTATCCCGTTTCCCCATTTCAGTAAAGGGCACTGCCCACCACCCAATTACTCAGGTCACAATCTAGTCCTGCTGACACGCATCTAGGACATAACCATGACTACTAATAAGCCAATCCAAGCCACCATTCTGTCTCTACTCGGCTAATGCGATCGCCTCCTGACCGCTGCCCTGTTTCTTCCATGAAACCTGTTGTCTACGAAGAAGTCAGAATGGCCTTTGAAAAATATAAACCAGGTCCTGTCAACTCCCTGCTTAAAACCCATCACACTCAAAACCCAAGAGCCCGCCCTTCGGAGCTGCAACATAACCTTGGCCTCCTGCTCTGACACGCTCGCCTGCTCTTTCCCGTTTCCCCGTGTGCTCCAAGGGCAGGGGCCTGTCAGCCTCCCAAACATGCCCAACTCTTCCCACTCTTGAGGATTTACTCAAGCTGTTCCCTCCTCTGGAATGCGTGATTCTATCTACTTATCTTTCTGTCTGTCACTAGTCTCCTACTCCCTCTTGACCCCTCATTCGAGAACGTGAGCTGAGAAAAGAGACCTCGCTGTTCTGGTTGCTGCTCCACTGTGTGTCTCCGGTGCCTGGAACAGTGCCTGCCACATAGGGCACCCGCAATAAATTCTGCCACAAAAGGAATTTTGCAAGATTGCTTATATACTTTCTGGGTTTTGTTGTTGTTGTTTTTTATGGCTAGATTGATTTAATCAGTGCTATGATATTTTAATTTCCATTGCATTCCAGCCCGTCCCAACATTCTTAATGCCCAGACTTTGAACATTGCTCATTCTAATAATTAATACTTTTTTTTTTTTTTTAGCTTTTAGAAATCCTAGACAGTTTTAGAAAATGTCTTGTTGTTTTGAAAATATTTGCTTTTATTTTCAGCTTTTGGTTGCTATCTATCTATATATTATATATCATTTTAACCTTTTCATGGAGTATATACACATACAGGAAAGTGTAAAATATGAGTATAAAGACATAAGTATCTGAATTATTACTAGCAGAACTCCCTTTACCAATAACTCAGGTCAAGAAATAGAACAGGATGACCTCTTTGCATGCCTTTCCGTCACTGTTCAGTCCCTCTCTAACTGAGCGTAACCAGCATTCTGATTTTCATGACTCACACTGCCCTGCATATCTTTCTAGTTTCACCACCCTTGTACCCATAACACTGCAGATTAGTTTTGCCTGTTTTATACATTATGGAACAAGAACCATATGGTGTACACTCTCGTTGTTATTAGATTGCTACATTTATATTAGCGGTAGTATCTATTTGCGTAGGTCAGTTATCTGTCATCTATTATTTATTTATTTCATTATTTATATCCTTCCTTCTTCCACAGAATATTTGAAGTGCCTTATGAAAATATAATAAAAAATGTTCCAGTAAGGAAACAAAACCATGTAGAGAAAGGAATAATGAGGTCAAGATATAATTTAAAAATCGAAGGAGTGAAAATAATATTCGGTTTGAAACTTTGGATATGAGCTTCCTGGAATCAATGAAAAAGTAGAAATTAATTGCAATATTTACATTATTACTAAAATACACATACCAGTGCCTCATTAAAAAGAAAAACCATCGAAGTCTCAAGTATTTTCTCTTTGCATCAGTCTTCTTGAAAAGACACTTAATAATGTCATAGACGTCCTCCAACGTATATAATAGCGGCTTATATAGGAACTAGGTACAATGTGTCAGATGCCTCCCACTTCTCAGCCAGTCAAATGTGTGGGAATTGTTCAGTCAACTTCACCTTTAGTCTTTATGAGATCATAAATGACTCTGACTTTTTCACCTTTAGTAACCTTATTTTCTGTTCCAAATTTCTTTTGTAGATATACTGATGTTTTTCTCTAAATATAGGAAGTAAATATTTAAATTCAGTCATATTGGAATTTTTTAAGTCTTATACTTACTGCTGTAGCTCTATAATAAATTATTTGCATTATTGGAGAATATTGCATTCAAATATTGAGATAGGACCTGCTTATTAGGGATGTGGTTAAAAGATCATTTATAAACCAAGTAGAAGTAGGTATCGTGTTGCCAGTGTAGAAATAAGCTGCTATGTTTCTCTACTAATCTCCTCTGTCACTGTATCCGCTGGGCCCTGGCAGGACACATATAGATTAATGCCAACAGGTGACTCAGCCACGGCTACCTTGTGTTCAGGCTTTGTAGGGGATTAAATGAAGCTGATACAATTTGCATTTTCTTAAATTAATACTTCTTACATTAGCTAGGTCTTGCTGTAACCTCAAATTTCAGGATACAGATCACTAGCATAACTTTCATCTGGAAAGGCACAGATTTATTTATGTAGATTGTAGATTATTTTCTAATTATTTGTGTAAGAAATGTGTCTTTCAAATGAGATCATAAATGACCCTGAGTTTTGGAAATGTCTATTCGCTTTTTCATCTCCTCCCCCTCTCTGTTTGTGCTCTTGTGGTTTTTTTTTTTCTTTGCTTTCTTTCTCCTTCCCTTGTCTTCCCTCCCTCTTCCGACTCTTCTCCCTCCCACTGTCTGCTAAGATCTGTTATCATTTTCAGACAAGCTGCAGCCTGAACTATCTAAAAGTCAAATTACACAGTCATGGTGGCCTAACAGTGATATTTGGTTATGCCTGGGATTTGTGCCAAAAGCAAACAATTACTGTAGACCTGCCAGACTCCTCAACATATATTCTTTTATTTCCCCAGAGATGTGTACTGGAGGACTGTTGCCAAATTTAAGAAACACTAAATTGCTGAATCATCGCATTGGGGGTTTGTGTGTGTGTGTGTGTGTGTGTGTGTGTGTGTCCAGGAACCAGCTGGCAGAGATGGGGTTTCAGCCACTGATTACCAGGCATGTTTCCACTAAGACAACACCACGCAAAAGGCCTTTCACAGGCCTTGGGGGGGCCTTGGCGGAGCCACAGTATGAACAGGGAAACAAGTAACAGCAACTGGCCTTAGCTCAGGACGTGGACAAGCCATGCCCTAGGTTTTTAGGAAACCATTTCTATTGGCAGCTCCATTTGAACTTTAATAACGAGTAGTCCCATGCTATTTTAGTAGCCTGGACTAACTGCTTCAAAAAGATCCTTTTAAGGAGGTCAAATAGGAAAGGAACAGGGCTGGCTGCTTTTTTTTTTTTCCCCTCTCTTGCCCAAAGAATGAATCATCCATCTCCTAAAATGGTTACAAAGTCCAAAGGGAGTTACATGGCTTGTTTTGCTTAAGGAGAGGAAAGGCCTGTATTAGGGGTGGGGAAAGAAATTATTTTTTTCAGCAAGATGTAAAACCAGAACAATTTCTCAACCTCAGAGCGTTAGTTAATTCTTTTGCCATACAAAGATAAGCCTTATTACATTCAGACATTTTAAATTTATAAGATTATTAAGCACTTGAATGATATGCTTGTTTTTTCCATCCCTTTTCAGGCAAAAATGTGAGCTAAGTTGTATTTTCTATCTTTTCCCCCCCCTTTCCCTCCCTCTGTTTTTCATTCTCTAATGTTTTATGAAAAAAATCAATCCCAGGTGAGAGAAGAAAAAAGGTTTCAATTCCTCCTTTTCTGCTAAGAATTTGTCCTGCAGAATATGCCTTTAATGTGGTGGATGTTTCCCCCAAACAACTTCTGACTTCATTAGATCATGTTTAATATTAATGTATTGCAATTGCTTTTGGCAAGTGGTCCTTCACTTCTCCAATCTTTTCAGCAAAGAATACTGTGGTTGGTTTTTTTCTAATGGAATGAAATGTTTGTTACTATTTTATAATAATTGCTTTCTTTAGTTGCTTGTTTGTAATTCCCCCGGGCTTATGAATAGCTGGGACACTTTTGGGTATAGTGTATGTATGGGTTTAAGTATATTTTGAGTTCTGCAGAATTTGCTAGGGGTTAAATCAGCTTACTCCAAAAACAGGTCTGATTTTGGGAAGGGGTGCCTTTGGCTGCTGTATATCCTGATACTGACGTGTAGCTCAGTATGTAGCTGAACGGGTGTCTAACGTGAAGAAGAAAAAATTTCCATAGCTGAGTCCCTTGGCTGAGGTCAGGCCATAGCCTTTCTTATGCAGTAGAAACATCTCGGAGTATGGTGGCCATGTGAGGCTCATTATTTCTTCCCATTTGTGTCAGTATCTCCTGTCCTTTCGAATTGTCGAGTCACACTAACACAAGTGTCATTCTCTTTTCATTGAATTATCCTATAGGACTCTGTTTAGTGCAGAATCTGTTAGATTAACTTCTGAGGATTCTCTTTCTATATTATGTATTTTAAAATTAATACCCTCAAATGAAAGAAATTGGTCTCTTGGTTTGACTGTAAACCAGGCACTTTTTTTTTTTTATTCCTAGGTATCTTATATTTGGATGCTATTACAGTGGGTTTTTTTAAATTTTTAAATTTAGATTGCCTAACTGTTATTGTATATAGAAGTACAGATTTTGTATCATTAAACTCATATCCAACAACCTTGCTAAATTAATTTACAATTTTAAGNTACAGATTTTGTATCATTAAACTTATATCCAACAACCTTGCTAAATTAATTTACAATTTTAAGCTCATTTGTAGATTCTTTGAGCTTTTTACCGACATGGACATATCATCTCTGAGGAAAGACATTTTTATTCCTTTGTTCCCTTTACTTATTTTATATACCTTCTACTTTGTTTGCTTGCCTTACTGCTCTGGCTGGGATTCACAGTGCGGCGCTGAATGGAAATTGTCACGGCAGGCATGGTCCCATTCTGGATGTGAGGTGGAAGGAAGGCTTTTACTACTTCATAATTAAATGTATTGTTTGCTTTCTGTATTTGGTTTTTATAAATGCCCTTCATCAAAATAAGGAAGTTGTCTTCTATTTCTACTTGGCTGAGATTTTATATAAAGATATGCCTTATCTAATTCATTCTCTACAGTGGTAGCCAGAGTGATTCTTTTAAAACATAAATTTGAGAATGTTTCCTCTCCCTGCTTAAAACTCTTTAATGACTCCCCATTTCCCTTTGACTATAAAAGGCAAACTTTAAGATGGCTTGTAAGGCCCTTTATGACCTGGTCCCTGTCAATCTCTCTTACCTACTATCTCAACATTTCCCCCCTAAAATGATACTACCTTGTTTTAATTAATTGTATTCCATTCCTTGGACTGGCCAAACCTTCTCCCACCTCAGTGCCTTGGCACATGACCTCCCTCTTATCTTGCCTCCTCCTTAAGTCCCTAATTATCGTTCAAGCCTCAGCTTGGGTTAACTCTCTCTAGGAAACCTTTGCCGACTCCTAAGTTCTGGCCTAGATTCAGAGTCTTGTGTATTTCCCCAGTGATATTTCTTATCCCCTTTATGTTGAAAATGTATGTGTCATCTTACCTGTAGCAATGTCACTGGTGGTAACTCCCCTCTTTCCAGGTGAGATTATGCATAGAAATTCCAGGAGTTGGTGAGAGGTTGGTCATTCATATTGGCAAATTGTGATTGAAAGCCTGTGATTTAGAAGCAGCTTGCAAACACTTATGATTCGATAATAGTAAATAGCTGTAGAGCTGTGTGTGGTGCTGGAAGATGGGGATGGACCCAGGTTCACCACCCTCTCAGATTGCTTTGCTGCTCATAGTGGGATTATGCATCATTTAGCTGTTCAAAGGGATAATGAATGGGAGCAATCCCTGTGGTCTCTTAAGGGGAATACTGAAGGGAGATATTAAATGATGCTAAATAGCCTTAAACAGCTTCTGTTAACTTCCATTCTGAAACCATTCAAAGCCAACATTGATCATTTTTATGTGTTTGTATTGGGTGTGGGGAAGCTACACATTTTGTTCCTTGATCCATAAACTCTGCCGTAGGGTGTGCTATGGTCAGGTAAGCTGTAGAGATTAATACCTGGGAAATAATGAGGCAGGGCAAATGGCAGCTCAAGGATTTTCTAAAAATTACCTCTTGAATGCTACACGGTGGAGGCCCCTGTTCCAGCCAAGAAGTTGGAAGTGGAAGCATAGATGGAGGGGCCAGAAAACACTGCTTTTCCTGCCCCCTTCCTGACCTGGGTGGGAAGTTTAAGGCTGTTTTTATTCGTGCCTTTTAGGTAGCATCCTTTTCAAATACATGACCATGGAATCCGAGAAGATCTCAGAGAAGCAGGAGGAAATTCTTTCTATCCTGGAAGAAAAATTCCCTGGCTTACCTCCAAGAGAGGACATTGTCAGCGTGCTGCAGGAGAGCCAGTTTGGTGCTCAGGGTGAGTGACCGTCCCTGGCTCTGCCGCAGCCCCCAGCAAGGCTGGTTTGTGGCATGGAGTATGGGCAGGCCCCAGAAGGCGAATTTCATCGCGCCTTCACTTGTTCCCTGTTGTTCACGCTTGGGGCAGATCCCCGGGCGCGTGGTGCTGGCTCACCCAGGAGCAGGCAGCCTGTGCTCCAGCCTCTCCTCGGAGGCCTTCGTGTCTGGGTGTGCGGTGAACCCACGCGTCTCGTGCACGCCCCGGATGCATCATGGCGTGACATCTCTGTACCGAGAGGGTTCTTTTTGAGACTAGAGCAGGAGCAATGACAAGCACAATGGGATTTTGTAAATCAATTCATTTTAGAGGGGGGAAAAAAAGAGAAGACAGCCAAGTAGATAAAATCGTCATCCAAGTCGAGGCTTTATCAAGACAGTGGATTTCCTGGACCAGTTTTATAATAATAATAATAAGGAATAGCTGCAATCCATTGAGTGCCTAACATACACAAGGTTCAGATGGTATCATTTTGCATGGATTACTTCACTGAGTCCTCTCGATGACCCTATCAGGTGCTAGTTTCCCGGGGAGAACACTGAAGCATGGAGAGATGTCCTGGCGTTTCCATCATCACACGTGGCTGGCAGGTGGCCGGCCAGGATTTAAACCCAGTCTATCCTGAAGGTGCATCGCTTTCTCCCTTAGTTTGGAATCCCCCAGGGGCAGGGCCTGAGGCAAAGCAGTTTATCTGAGAGGCGACCCCAGGAATCACTGGCAGGGGATGGGGTGCTTTACCATCCATGGGCAAGCAGGCCCTTGTCCAACCAGGGAACCCTGAGAAAGAGTGTGAAGTTGCACCCCCGCGTTATCCCCGCGAGGAGTGCCGTGGTGTGTTACAACTTGTTTATCCGAGCTCCAGGAGCTGACGGTTTAAGTTTCAGAAATGTTGTGCGTTGGTTGATCTTAGGTTGGCAGCCTGAGAGCATTCACTGTACACTTGCGGACACCAGGGAAACTGACAAAGACTGAAAATCAGGTTTTGTTGCTGGTTGCTTAACATTCATCAGTCTATCGCCGGAATGTGGATGGCTACTCAGCCCCGGGGGCCGTCAGTTCCCCCAGAGTAGCCTCTGGTGGGCAGAGAAAGCCCTCGGGAGAGGAGAGGCAGATGCCGGTGGCTGAGTGTCCGCCAGGGACTCGCGGGCGCGGGTGGGCGCTGCGTGTCCGCCGCGCTGTCTGTCACAGGTGCGCGTGTGGATACGCGGCATGTGCAGCTGTGCGACGCGGCGCATTTTGTCAGTCATCTTGAAAACTGGGCCAGACTCAGTGTCACCATATAGTCAGTGGATCACCTTATACCACAGTGTGATAGAGTATAGCCTTTCAATCTTCCAGTCAAAGAAAAAGATTTAGTCCCTTGTGTTTCCCAGACTGCTGTGCTTAGCTGTGTTCTAAACGGGAGGAGGGCGAGTGAGGGGCTCTGGTGTCTTCTTGCATCTGGGCAGGGTGTATGTGCTTTACTGGGCTTCATTATGGGTCTCCTTTCCAAGGGGATAGGGCCAGTGAGATATGATAACCAGGTGAGGTTATTCGATGTCAGGCCGGACCCCTTCCTNATGATAACCCAGGTCCAGTGAGATGTGATAACCAGGTGAGGTTATTCGATGTCAGGCCGGACCCCTTCCTATGTTTTGGCCATAGGCTTCATTGACGTACATTGGTCAGCCGACTAAAACTCTGCGGTTGTGGCTAACTTCACGACTCTGGATTATTCCCCCCATCGTTCAAGGAATTCAGTAGCTCCTATAACCAGAGCCTATTACAAGGGTGACCACTTAATTATGATGGTTTTATGGGTCACATTTATAAAGTGCATTTTTAATAAAATTATACTAGAAAACATGGGGGCTACTAGAAATGTAGCCAGAAAGCAAATTTTGGGCTTGTTAGGTATGATTAGACTAGATTGTCAAATAATGGGTGCTATAGTTTTCATTTGCCCACCTCCCCCTCCCATTCCCTGCCCTTGTCTGCTCTTGGCCTCCAGAGGCTGGGCCCTGAGTATTTAATCTTCTGGGCTCCCTGAAGATTATTGTCTTCTGGATGGGTTTGGTTAATGGGGAGAGTAACAGGTGGGGCGTGGGGGTCAAGGGAAGGAGAGAGAGGCTGTAGTATTCCTTCCCTGCTCCCTTCCTGAGTTGGCACCATGTCTCTGGCAGCCCCTCTTGCAGGCCCAGACCTCCACTTCCTTCCCTTGTCCCTTTGCTGGCCTCTCTCAGTCCTGCCCACAGCTCTGTAAGTGTCCTGCCACTGAAGACTCTTCTTTTGGATTAGGAGGGGTGAATTTTTTTTACCTGCTGGGATCCTAACTGATGCAAATATTGTCACAAATGTGATTTTGCCTTAATATGTGTGTGTTTATTTGGATAGAGGAATTATGAGTGGGGGAAATATTGAAATTAACAGGGTAAATTCTTTGAATAATCATTTCTTGATATTAATTGTAAAAAAAAAGTCCCCAAATAAAACATACTGTTTTCCCTTCTCACCCACAGGTTTAAGTATTGAGCAGGCAATGTTGAAGGATCTAAAGGAACTGTCAGATGGAGAAATAAAAGTGGCCATTAGTACCGTGAACATGGCCCTCGAGGTAAGGGTGGGAGTGCTTTTCGGCAGCGATGGATTTCACACTGTTGCAGTCTCAGCACCTGGGACACGGCGCTCTCTACCACATAAGTCAGTGTTAGTCTTTTGCTGTGAATGCTCTTGGTGATATGTTTGATTAAAAATGCAGGTTATTCTTTTGGGTGAAAACTCTATACTAAGTTGATGAAAAATGCCAAACCTAGATTCCCAAGATGAGTGCTGTCTGATTCACCTCAGTAAAACAACACCTAAAAACATGCTCGCACACGCACCCATGCGTGTGTGCAACCTGTTTGATAGCAGTGATTAGATACGTGATTGGATTCACTTCTGGTTTTCCTCTGTGCCCCACCCTGAATTGTTCATAGAACCTTTCCAGGAAAATAAGTTGTCCTTTGGCCTTTGTAAACTGATTGGATGCATATAAGACCCCCCTTCTGTTCCTTTCAGTGAATGACTCAGTCACAGTTTGTGTGTTTCCTCGGCAAATTATCCTTTGTCTACTTTGGGGGTTTTCAATGACTTGAATGTTAATCTTAATTAACCTCACTAATAGGAATTATATTTTACAGAGGCACATTTGCGCTGTGCAGAGCTCTGTGTATTTCTTTACTGCTATATTGCCTTGATCAACCTACCCACTTCTGACTGAGGCACTGAGCTCTCAAGTCACACTGATGGAGATCAAAATTGCAGTATAGGAATTTGTCTTTTGGTTTCTAGAATGTTGCTATACTTTTTTAAAAAATTTATCTTTATTGTTGAAAGTACGCTGCTATACTTTTATGGTTTTTCTCATGGTAATGGTGACTGTATCAATATGTACATTTCTAGGGAATAGCAGGCCATGCATATGGATGTCCACACCTCAGAAAACCCAAGAGCAAACCAGGTGTTTTTTTCTGTGATTGCTTTGTAAAATTTATTCCCTGTTGATTGACATTGTAATTCAGCTCTTGGATCCAGATGAGTACCAGGAGGTAGACTGTTGTCACTAAAGATAATCAGACTTGGTGGTCATAGAGTGTCTCATAGTTTGTAGAACACATTCTCATTGTATGGAGGAACTCAGCAGTTTCTGTGGACTTTCAAACTGATAAATGCTTCACATAATTAGATGTTGATATAACTCAATACAAGAAATACATGCAATTTGGGATATAGTAACTAGATAATCACCTTCAATTAGAAGTCTGTTTTGTGTCTAAAAGTCCAAGGAAAACATGGATCTTGCAAGGGTCAGTAGCTCTGAGAATCATTTCTCTTAGTTCAAGCCTTAGGGTTTTCTTTCCCTTTCCTCCCTCCCCTATCTTCCTTCATTTAATGGCATCTTATTAGGTTTTAAATGCCTTGTTTGAATTTCACTCTAAATTAACCTAGAACATCTTGTAATTGCTTAGGGAACTGTCTGTAGTTAGCAAAGTACTTGAAGGCTATTATTATTATAGCCTTACCATAGCTTTAATGTACCTTCATTTATATTATAGGGGTGTACAAATAGCTTTGTCAGGTATGTTAAACTGTAAATGTTTATCAAGCTGAAAAAGTGATAAAATGATCATCTTAATCTTGACAGTAATTTACACAGAGACTCAGTAATTAATCAGGTGGTTAAGTACATCTTTGGAAGTGCTATGTGATCTTCTGGGAAGACAGAGGACATTTATATATATAAAGAGGGCACACAGATTAAACTCTAATCAGCTGAATGGGAACTTTTCACTTGTGCATAATGGGGATATTAAAGATGACTGAGAAACAGCAAAGGAACTCAGTAATATCCTGTATCTTCTTTGAAAGAGAAAATGTACATTATTTATTAAATCTGTCAGATGGAAAAATCCCCAAGTTAAGGGCAGAGTTTGCTTTTCCCAGTAGATATTCCTGTGATACCCTGGCATTTCCCCAGTCCTACTTATACTTGATTACATCTCAGCATTCCTTTCGCATTCCTGGGGACCTCACTTTTAAAAATAACGACAGAATCCATACTATCTTATTTTGTGTGTTTTGGAACAGCTGTCTAATTGCCCTTTAACTCTAGATATATTCTCAAATAAATAGTCTTAGCTCCTATGACTTAATAAATCTCATTTGTCCCCCAAAGCATCGCCAAGACCTAGCTACTCAGTGATGATTCTTATAAATTCTCCACTTTTTATAACCACCCTCTGAACTTTTGTAAAATTTAGTCTAAATGGCCAACTTAAAACTTATACTATGTTTTCCATTAATTTTGAACTTGTTTCATATGTTTAATTATAGTTAGACCATATTTTAAGTAAATTGAGGGTAATGATCTTTGACTTCTATCTCCCTTTAATTTCCTGGCCCAGTGCTGGGCACATAGTAGGTACTTGGTAAATACGAATATTTAGTACATGTTGGTGTCTGAAATTTGTCCCTTTGGTATCTGATTTTTATTTCCTTTTGAATATAAATAAATAGCTAGAAAAGCAAAGCCACCCAGCTGTGCATCCAGGTCAATCTACTTATTCCTTCCCAGTTAGCTTCTTCCAGATAACTGTGGCTGAACATACAATAAATAAAGTGTGGCTCACATATTTGTAGATAGTGCTGCTCACCCAGCTGTCCAAGATGGATCAGGTGACTTTGCAAATAGTTAGCTGTTGTCACGGGAAGTAATCAACTGGGATCCTGTGGCATGTCAGGGAAATGAGAAAGCAGATTCCTTACATTGTCAACAGTCCTTTGCAATACTGCAATTCCACAGTTGCATGCGTCATGGCCTTTATTTGCCTGGTGACCCAATTAATTTGCTTGGGTGGAAATATCGAGAATATTAGAAGAATTTGTGTCCTTGCAACCTACACAGCATGTTCTTCAGATCGAAGCACTGGTTTGGGAGATAGAAATCACTGCCTTTGACAGATGGGTTAACTCTGGCCTTCTACGTTATTGGGAGAAAGCTACTAAACCCTTTATTATTTTTATTGTAGCATATATCACAAATGATAGTTGTAATTTAATCAAGGTTATAGAAGTTATTGAAAGATCTACCACGGAAAGCAAATAATTATAATAATACTGAGTTTCAATGCTTTTCTCAATATATGAGGCTGGAATGAATGTGACTTTGAAGAGCAATGATTAAAAAATGGCCTCATCAGAAGCATGATCAGAGGGGTAGCCTTTCTCACAGAGAGGACTTGGAAGCTAGAACCATGGCAAAGACACCACAGATCCATTTCACATGGCCTGAAGGCCATTCTGAGTCTGAACACAGCACATATCCTGTGGACATACACACCACCTATGGGAATCCACTTCTGTGACTGTCACTGTGCCTGATCCTATGTGCCCTTTTCATTGTTTGACAGTTTATCAGAAGAAAAACACAGGTGGTTTTGATTCTGTTTCAGTCCTTCAGTTTAGTGGTAGAGCCATTAGAGAGAAAGAAAAGTTGCCCCAAAACAAAATCCATTTTAAAAACTAAAAAGTGTAAAAATTAAGAATAATAAAGCCTTAATTAGAAAAAAAAAGAAAGAGAACTGATGGATATTAAAGCACGTGCTTAACTGGAACATGCTTTGCCTTTATTCTTCTGCAAGCAGATTGAAGTGGTGATTGTACATCACGGTTCGCTGTCTAGCAAAGCAGTATATTAAGATTTAAGGGGGGAGAAAAATCTTTCCGTTCTGATGAGGTTCCACTGAAGCAACTGAGACTGCGCATGGCAGTGCCACACTGAGGGCTCCCTTGTGAACACCAGATATCGTCACGGCCCTGTAAGCATCTCCGGAAGGGCGTTTGGTCATCAGCATCTTTCCTCAGGTAGAACAATGACCAGGCAATGACCTGACCGCTTTTTACTTTGCTCCGTCACATCACGCTTCGTTCCTGCGTGCCCAGGGCGTGGTTTGCTCAGGCTGCCGTGACGGGACAGCGCAGACTGGGTGCCTTACACAGAAACGCAGCGTCTCACAGGCCTGGAGGCCAGAAGTTTGGGGCGCTGTGTGGGCAGGGGGGGCCCCACTGGGGGCTCTGAGGGGCACTCTGCTCCGTGCCTCTCGCCAGCTTCTGGCCGTGTGCTGGCCATCGCGCATGTTCCTCGGCGTGTAGAGCATCGTCTTACACACCTGCCCTCATCTTCACGGTGTCCCCATTTCTCTCTGTTTCCAAGTTTCCCTACTTTAGATGGCCACCAGTCATACTGGACTGGGGCCCACCCTGATGACCTCACCTTAACTATTGTATCTCCCTTGACCCTGCTTCCAAATCAGGCCACATTTTGAGGTGCTGGATGTTAGGACTTCAATATCTTTAATATACAAAGTTGAGGGGGATGCAGTTCAACCCATAACATACCCTATTGATAAAAGTAGTCATTTTCCAGACAACTTACAAGAATAAAACTTATATAAAACTGTCAGAATAAACCTGTTGCCTGCCAAGTACATTTTATCTGGTGCTTCCACATGCTTTCGTTTGAAACCAATTCCTTTAGGTGTGGAACGATGGGGATTTTCTACTCTTGAAATTTTGTCTCCTTTATTCAGGCCTGTTTTCTCTCTGCAGCGCCGCTGTGCTCTGAGCCGGGGCCTCCTCATGTCCAGACACTCTGTTATTTGAAACCTGGACTCGAGCACATGAGATGCATTCTGTAGAGTGAGTCAGGCTGCTAAAGCATTCCGCCCTGCAGAGACTACCAGCCAAGCTGCACCTTGGGACACTGCCGAGGAAAAACACCAACCTTTTCCCTTAGCCCTCGGAGCGCAGGCCAGAATGAACTCCTGAGATCACTGTTAAACTCCTCCCTGGCGAAAGGGAGCATTTACTCAGGCCACAGTGAAGCATCATTGGGCCATTATAGCTGGTGATTTAAGAGTGAGCAAACCAGTCTGAAATCTGGCTTACTAATTTTAAACACCAAATATGATTTCTCATTGTTTGAGCGTGGAATTTTTAGAGTTCAGGATGAATGTAGAGTATCTACCTACATTATTTTGTCATAGAATGCAGAGTGGTATTTTGGGGGAGCAT